TCTCCAATCCTGCTGCCCTTCACAACCTCCTGGGGCCCAGGTAAAGATACCCACGGAGAGCTTCATGCCCAGCATAGTCCACAAGCGAAGCGTGGCTCCCCCAGCCCGTCCCCTGTGTGCCTACTGCCGGCCCTGGATAGAGAAACACCTGCTGCAATTCGCAGGGCTTCTAGGGTCTGATCATGGCTGCGTGACCTGTTAGAAAATTGGTTTTCAATCAAAGGCAATCAGCAGAACAAGGGAAGGATGATTTGGGTTAGATGAAACTTTCGTTTGATGTTCAAATCAGCACGAGTCCCGTGTGGCCCTGCGGTAACTGTTGTTTCTGCCTCCAGTCATATCAGGTCACAATCTAACTAGTGTGGCCAGGTCACCGGCCATGGCGGTGGTGTCATTTTTAACCAGCAAGGTTTTTAACTGAGGAGAGGAGCTGCTCGAGACCTCCTTGGGCTCTGAAATCTCGCAGGGGTTGATGAGAAGTCAGAGCGGACTTTCCAGAGGTCAGCAGGGCGCAGAGCAGGTCAGGAACGCAGCCAGCAGGCCCCGGGAAGGAGGGGTGACGTTCACTTCTCCTTCAGCGGCACAGACAGCACACTCTGCAGTGGACAGTGGGGGAGACAGGGCCCCCAGATGTCACCCTTCGGGATTTATAAAGCCACCTCTAGAGGATTCTCAGAGGCTCTGGGTAGAGGAGCCACAGTGAGAGGAGGAGACAGGAGAAGCCCCCGCTTTGAGCTCCACTGTGGAGGGCTAGGGTGGAGGGGACTCAGAGTGGGGACACCTGCCGCTGTCGCCCGCCGGAAGCCCTGGGTGAGTGAGGAGGTGGACAACCACCTACCTGTGCGCGGTTGGGCAGGGATGCAGTGATGGTGGGGGGCAGAGTGAGAGCGGGCAGGGCAGGAGGGGGAGGGGCGAGGAAGAATGGAGTGGAGGGTGTCCACTGTGGAGGGCTAGGGTGGAGGGGACTCAGAGTGGGGACACCTGCCGCTGTCGCCCGCCGGAAGCCCTGGGTGAGTGAGGAGGTGGACAACCACCTACCTGTGCGCGGTTGGGCAGGGATGCAGTGATGGTGGGGGGCAGAGTGAGAGCGGGCAGGGCAGGAGGGGGAGGGGCGAGGAAGAATGGAGTGGAGGGTGTGGGACT